GCAAGGACCCCCCCCCCCTTTGACAAACCCCTTCTTTTGCAAAGAGCCCTCCTTTTGCAACCCCCCGCTTTTGCAGACTCCCCCTTTCGCAGAGACCCCTTTGCCTGCAAGAATCTCCTTCCCAAACCAGCCTGGGTTTTAACTTTAATCCAAGTTTAATGCTGGATGTTGCTCCGGGCCCAAGTGATTTGCCCCGGGACAGCCGGATCCCAGCCGTGCTCTGCAAACGCCCGCGGGACCCTTGCAAGAATCTCCTTCCCAAACCAGCCTGGGTTTTAACTTTAATCCAAGTTTAATGCTGGATGTTGCTCCGGGCCCAAGTGATTTGCCCCGGGACAGCCGGATCCCAGCCGTGCTCTGCAAACGCCCGCGGGACCCTGGGCTGCAGCTTGATCCTCAGGTGCCCAGGAGCAGCAAGTCCGCGGGTTGTCCCGGCCGTGGTGGGGTCTGCCTGGTTTTTGCATGTTTTTTTAGACATCTGAAAGAGAAAAAAAGGGGCAGGTTCAGCTTTGCTTGTGCAGGTTGTGTGCTGGAGCTTGCAAAAAGGCTGTTTCGGGCTTCAGCATCCCTTCTGGAGAATCGTAGAATCATAGAATCATTGAGGTTGGAAAAGACCTCTAAGATCATCGAGTCCAACCATCAACCCAACACCTCGACCCACTAAACCATGTCCCTAAGCGCCTCATCTACTCGTCTTTTAAATACCTCCAGGGATGGGGTCTCCACCACTTCCCTGGGCAGCCTGTCCCAATGTTTAACCACTCTTTCAGTAAAGACATTTTTCCTCACGTCCAAAGGAAGAGGGCAGCTGGGGTAAGACCCTCCAAAGGGTCTTTTGGGAGCGGGACGGAATGGGATTCAGGATTTGTGTTGCAACTAGCCTGTGCTGCGACCCTACGGGGATGGTTATCTGCCAAATCCGCAGGGAGAATGGGCTGCTGCCCCTCCTGGAAGCAGCAGCGTGGGGGCTCGGAGGGGAAATTATCCTGGTTATCGTTCCCTCGGCAGCTGCCTGCTAACAGGGCACCCGTCATTTATTGATTTCTTTTTTATTGCCAGGTCCATGCTGAAGCCCAGCACCTTGCCGGACATCCAGGTTACGGATGCGGAGGCCACGCCAAACGCGGAGGCTCCCGGGAGCGGCGCAGGTGAGCCGGGCTCGGATCCGGTTGGATTTGGGCGGGCGGTTGGGAGCAGCTGCCTTATGCTCCAGTTTGTTTGGAGAAAAATACAAGCCAGGCATTTTTTTCTCTAGAAATCGGTGTTTCCATCTTGCTCCAGGTTACTTTAAGCCATTTCCAAAGCGCCTATATTTAATTTATTTAATTGCAGCAAGAAAATCTTAGCCCCGGTGGCCTGAAACCCTTCCTAAGGGCTTTTGCTCCGGGAAGGGGCCACGGTGGGATGTGGTGAAGAGGAGCTTGGAGAGAAATAGGGGGATGGAGCAAAGAGCCTCGTGGGATCGTAGGGAAAAGGATGTCGGCGCTTCCCCTTCCCAGCGGCTCCGCTTTTAGGGAAGAAGAATAGGCGCCGTTGGGAAGTGCCGTTACCATGGGGAAGTCAACATTTCTGCAAAGTTCTTTTCCCCTCCCTGGTTTTTCCTCTGTAGGGAGGGAGAAGAGCTCGTCCGCCTCGGCTCTTCGTTAACCCCTTGTTTTTAGCACGAGGCAGCGATGAACGGGACACAAGCTGTCCCACCGGCAATTCCCACTGGAAAAACCTGCTTTATGCATTTTTCTCGTTCAACCGGGGCATTTTGCAGATGTTCCTGGCTTTTTTGTCTTTGGCGGGGGGGGTGGTGTTTTTATGGAAATACACCCTTGAAGCAGAGAAGAACCAGCTAATCCCTTCGGCTTCGGGATGCTCATCCACTTCCCGGCTCGGGGAGGAGCTGAGCACTCGCAAAACTCATCGATCCATGAAACCCTTCGCCTCATCCTTGATCCTCCAGCTTCTCTCCTTATTCTTTTTGATCTCCCCACACATGACACTTCCCCCCCCCCCCCCCCC